AACAAGAATTTATGTAACACAGACTAATCGAAATACATTAGTTTGATATGAGCTTCAAACATTATGTTCTTTCTCATTTTCTTATATTTTTGAAATGTAATTATAAATAAAACAAACTTACACATTATAGTTGAGAAACTGTCCTCAAAATTTTATGATTTATAAACTCCTTGGTTTAATTAATTTATAAATATCATATACTTGTTGATTGTACCACTTACATTTTCTAACAAAACTTCCCACAGAAAAAAATATACTTATATTTGAAATCCAAAAGCAACTAAAAAAATTCCCATTTTTAAGATCAGATTTTTCTGTTTCTATTTTATTATATCCCATACTTATTTTTATTATATTTTTATAAGCATAATGATAGAATTTAACACCAATTGATATGTAATATTCTTACCAAATGAATGACTATGAAGTCAGGCATGTAATTTAAAGAAATCATAAGGTTGCCAGAGAAACTATCTATATGCCAAATGTGCACAATCCTGCCACATTCATGCCCATGTTTGTCATTTAATAGTGCACACATATATGTAAAAACATACCCCACACACATATACACAATGCATATTTTCTACAATACAATATATACTTAGGTACAATAAAATAGTGCAGTGATGTTTGGAATGTTGGTGATTTGTATAATTTGAGAAAAAACAAATATCTTTGAAGGAGTTGGAGAATTCGTAATATGTATCAGATACTAAATGATATTAATGATTAAGTATAGTTATAATAAAATTTACTTAAAAATTAATATACATCATCAGTAGAAAATAAGTACAAAGAGATATTGATAACATAATAACATTTATCTTAACAAATTTCCAACCAAACAAGCTGTAGTGACAGAAAAGGAAGTTTGTAGAAAGCAGAGATGAAAGAGGAAAATGACAGATGGGCCTTAATACTTTTCATACTACTCATATATACAGATTTCATAAATTCCCAAATAAAAAAGTGAAGAAAATGAGAACCAAAATAACTCATCAATTTGGTAGACCAACATATAGAGACAAGGATTAATGTATTGATAAAATTTAAAAATATGAGATGTAAAGCCTGAGATTTAGCTCAATAGTGCTGCACCTGCCTAGCCAGAACAATGTGCTGAGTTTAATCCCCAGCATCAGAGGAAGAAAAAGAAAACGGAAAAAAAAGAAGAAAAGAGGGAAAAAAAAGCATATTTACTTTCTGACATACTCAATAAGTTAAAAATAAATTATTTGTTATCTCTTCCTCTTGAATTGTTCCCTTCACAAGGATGTAGTGAGCTTCTTTGTCTCTTTCAATCAGTTTAAATTTGAAACTTACTTTGTGAATAAGATTGCTACCCCTGCTTTTTTTGGGGGGGGCTCCTGTTACATGAAGAAGTTTTCTATCCTTTCACTTTCAGTCTATGGGCTTCTTTTTACACTAGACGTGTCTTGTATACAACATATTATTGGATCTTGCTTCTTAATCCATTCTGCTGGTCTATTTCTCTTGATTAGTGAATTGAGGCCATTAATATTGATGGTTATAACAGATATGTACTAACTTATTATTATCATGTTTTTTTTTTCGCCTTCTCCTTTTAGTTTCTTGGCTTGCCTATTTGATTTGCTCTGTTGGGCCTCATTGTGTTGTTACCTTCATTGTCTTTTTCTAGGATATTGTTTAGAATTTGTTGTAGTGCTGGATTGGTATTCATAAAGTTTCTCAGGTGTTCTTTATCCTGGAAATATCTTATTTCCCCATCCATTTTAAAAGAAAGTTTTGCAGGATACATCAGTCTAGGTTGGAGGTTGTTTTCTTTTAGTACTTGAAAAACCTCATTCTGGGCTCTCTTTAACCTAAGGGTTTGTATTGAAAAGTCTGCTGTGATTCTGATAGGCTTTCCTTTGCATCTAATTTGTTTCTTGTCTCTTACTGCTTGTAGTATTTTGTTCTTCTGTTGGGTTTCTGGGATCTTGATTATTATATGTCTAGGTGTAGATTTTTTTTTTATCACCACTAGTTGGAGTCCTATATGCCTCACTTATCTGTATGTCAAATTCTTCCCCTCTATTTCGGAAGTTTTCTATAATTAATTCTGTGAACAGCTTTTTAAAGTCATTTACATTTTCTCCTACTCCTTCTTGAATTCCTATCAATCTTATGTTATTCTTCTTGGTATTGTCTAAGAGTTGTTGTATCAATTTCTCATGATCTCCTGTTTTTAAGAGACCTCTCTTTTCACGGTGACTGAGTGCAATTTTATCTTCTATATCTGAGATTCTATCTTAGGACTCTTATTCTTTTGTGAACACTCTCAATGGAGTTTTTAATTTCCTGGATATTTGTTTGAATCTGTCCTATGGATTCCATTTCTTTCTTGTACTGGGCATTTATTGTTTCCAATTCTTTCTTATGCTGGGCATTCATGGCTTCTATCATGGTCCTGAGCTCATCTATTTTTCTCTCATTTTCTGTTCTAGAGTCACGAATTATAACTTTCATTTTGCTTGTCATCCCTATGATTATCTGGGAAATTGCTTATGTTTTATATTTCTCTAGAGCCTGATTGATCAGTTTTGTTTTCCTGTGCTTTGAGTTTAGGGTGTCCTGATGATTCACTATCAGACTTTTCATCCTCATTTGCCCCACTATTTGCCATTGGTGAACTGGAAGTCTATCCCTGTATCTTGCTTAAGTGTTTTCTCATTTTTACTATTGTTGTTGGGTTATCCTTAGTTTTTAACCTTTAGATTATTACTTAAACCTTCCTGATATAGTTGGGCTGCATCCCATGGGTCTCTAGTGACTCATAGATATTCTCTTTTTCATCATACTGAAGAAAACAGCTCATTGAATCGATCACAATCCTTTATCCTAATTGATACAATCAGCACCACAATATAACGAAGCACAGTTTGCAAACTGACCACTTATGGCAGTCATCAATCTATCACCTTCAAACCATGTAAATTTAATTGAGATGAAGAAGTAATCCAAAATGTGCTTACAGTAAATAAACTTTTCAATAAGGGTATTTACCATTTACAATTGGGGCTTAAAAAAAAGTTAAGACAAGAGGAATAGATACATATAAGAATTAGAGAAGGTTTCATATAAAACCTAAAGACATAGAATGACCAGACAATTGTCAGGAAATTGTTAAATTCAAAAAGAACAAACAAAATAGAAATATAGTAACCCTTGAGTGAGGTAGAATAACATAAGAAAAGAACATAAAGAAAAGAGAAAAAAATAATAAAAGAAGAAATCCAAATTAGGACAAGAGCAGAAACAAAAAGAGAGGTGAGGGATACTATAGTGGAGTAAGAGACTGAGTTAGAGAAAGAAAACAGAAAGAAAAAAAAGAATTTGCAGAGTAGGATGAAAAAAAGAAAGAAACAAAAATGAGTTTAAAGGGCCTCTTTCAGACTATATCACTGCTGTCATAATATACAATATGTGCTGCCATGTGCAGAGCCGAGTCCCCTGATCTCAGCTAGCTGGTGGCAGAACCCCGCAAAGCAGACTGAGCTCAGGCTGCAAGGCCCAGACTGAGTTCCCCGACCTCCTAAAGGATTGAACTCCACTCAGTTCTACTATAAGTTTCCCCCACCACTTCTTTAAAGATGTTCAAAGTTGAAAGTGCCAGAGAATACTCTTTATGACCACCTCTGACTCTATAGAGTAGGTCCAAATACTGTTACAATCAGCTCTAAAAGAGCGAGGGGGAAGGTTGGGGGGGTTTCAGTGGTGCCCGCTCAGCACTAAAGATGGCAGCAGCAGTGCCAGCAGGGGAGGGCCCGGCTGAGAAGACCCTCTGTCCCTGAAGATGGTGGGAACATTGCGGGGAGGGTCAGAGCACATGTTTTTAAATGAGACATAATTACCTTAATCCAGTGGTGGTGAACCTATAGCACAAGTGCCACAGGTGGCTCTTTGTTATCATTGAAAACTTTAAAAGGTTTGCCATCCCTTTCAGAAGCTCTTGACAAATTTATTTCTTTCACTTTTGAGTTTGGCAACACCCCATTTAGGTATCATTGAGAAAGTACTATGCTCCGGCATTCATTAAAGAAAATATAACTCAATAAATAAAATTGTTCTCATTGATTTATTTGTTGCTTATAGAGATTATTGCATAAAGATGTCTATATACAGCTTTAAAATCAGTCATAAAACTGTGTTTACCCAGAGATGCTCTGCTATGCACTATACATCTGGTGAAGTGAAGTCTAAATATAGGTGCACTCATCAGCAACATTGATATTGTTTGCATATCCCAGTTGATGAAATCCCAGTTAGGACAAGCTTCATGTGGACTCATAGTGCTGGGAATCCCAGTTAGGACAAACTTCATGTGGACTCATAGTGCCACGTGTTTGTCTTGAGCAGCCCTTCCTGGCATCGTCATTGTGATACTGCTTTGGGGTAGATTTAGATGGAAGAATTGTCCATATATCTGCTGTATTTCACCACATTATGGTGTTTATCAGTTCTTTATTTTGGGTTATGGCAAGGCTGCTTCTGACCCCCAAGTTATGGAAAGAAAGTACAAACCTTTGTAAATAACACGTTATTTTTTAAGGAAGTAGAGTGAAGTATGTGATGCCTAGGATTGTTCTGGTCTGTTCCAAAGTTGCCAAGGTTTTTAGGGGAACAGATGGCTGTGGTGTCCTTAGAATAGTCCACACAGTTGGCCCAGCATGTTCATTAGTTCTACACCCGAAGATTTGACTAACCTTGGCTCTGAAATATATAAAACAAAAATTGTGTCTGTACTGCATAAATGTCTTATACTTTTCATGTCATTATTTGCTAAACAGTACTGTATAACAAGTTTGCATAGTATCAGTTTGAAGGTTGTAGGATTCTCAAAAAAAGAATTCATCATGATCTCTTCTTGGCCTTTTGGCTAAGATCAAGTGTAGAACTCTTTCTGAATTCCCTGGACCTTTTGTGACTTGTGGTTTTTGGTTTTTTGTAGAAACTTTGGATTGCGGCATTATTTTTTGGAATCAGTGGGTCTCAGTTCTCCTGGCATGAGTACATCAATATTCCATATTATGGCCTGATGGTAATTGTGCTTATCTGTCTTTGTGACTGGGCTCCCACTCTGGAAACAACCAAACTTAACCCTGGTTGTGCTGTCTTCCTGATCACTGCTCTTAGGAGCAGTTAATGAGGAAACCCTGTTCAAAGTGGTTAGCACAAGTCAGGGAGTGGCCTGGGGTTTTCTCCAGTCTTCCACTCTCTGCAGCAAGTGAAAGGCAGGGTAAATCTCACAGTGAAGGAAAACATACTGTGCTTCAGTTCAGTAAGGAAATAAATACAATGACAGGAGACTGGAATGCATGCCTTACATCTCAACTAAGAACACAACGACCACTTAATGTTCATAGCCACATTTGCTTTACACTCTAAGAAAACACAGAGAAACTTGTTTCTTTATACATTTTAATGTAATGTAAGTAGATACTAATAAAGAAAACGTAAGAAAAGCACTTCTAAGAAAAAAAATAATCAGAGAATAGCAACCATTAATACTTAATATCATAACCATTGGGCTGGGGATTTAGTTCAGTGGTTCCGGAGCCTGCCGCACAAGTGTGAGGTCCTGAGTTCGATCCCCGGTACAAAAAAACCCCAACAAAATAACCATTAATACTATTAATATCATAATCGTAAAAGAATAGCCAAAATGCTACTCAGAGTATAATTCATAGGAAGGAAAAAAGAATCTTAGATAGAAGAAACAAGCAGAAAAGAATATGAAACTTTCTCTTCAGTAAACTAATGGAAACTACTAGTACAAGTGTCATTCTAACTCCCATAATTACAACTGGTTTTGATAAAAACAAATAAGAACTAAAGGTTGTTGCCATAAATCAACAATGTTCATTGAGCACCACTGTTATACCAATTTAGTGTTTATTGAGCTATAACAAAGTGGAGAGAAGGAAAGAGCTGCAGTGTGAGGTTACCTACCCCATGGTCTCCTTCTCGGCCACTGAAAGCAGCACCCCAACCCCGAGGCATCTTCAATGCTAGGAAACATAAGCCTAGTTGCTTTGCTGTGATGAGGACTGTGAATGTGAAATTTGGTATGTTTTCAGAAAGAAAAAAAAAGATTAAAAAGGAGCAAAATTGTGACAAATTCCTTGGAAATGTTTAAAACTTTAAAAATGTTGGACTTGCCCTGATTCCAATTATGTTTTAGGCTTTGCAGCATAATGAATTTTTGGGGCAAGACTTCTGTCCAGGACTCAGTGACTCTGAAGACAGTGGCTGTCCCAACTATGTAATGTAAGTCTGTGTTCAGCCTCCTGATGGATTTGCCCCCTTCTGTGATGTCGTGGTGTGGAAAGGCCCTTGGGTTTATAGAGGGTATAAGTCCTTTCAGTGAACAAATCATTCTTCACGTAAGTTGTCTCACCTGTGAGGGAGTCATTCTGCACTAATGCCTGCAAACATGCTGTGCAATGCTTGTTTTTTGCAGTAAATATTATATTTAAAGTGAAGGAATGCTTGTGTCATGCTTTTGAAACTGTGTTAATGGTTGTTTTAAGTTTTTTGGCCTTTTCAGAACATTTGGGTGTGAAATGGGCTGCTTTGACAGTGAATCGAGGCCTTACAGTTGCTGGTATCTGTGAATCCAACACACAGAAAACAGCGGAAGTTAAAAGGGCAGCAGCAGTGTAAAGGAGTGGACATTGTCCAATCAAGAGTCTGTCAGTTCTCTTTCCCTCAGGCATTGGAAGACGTGTGAAATAAAAGTTTACATGGTGGAATGCATCTCTGGGTGTATACAGCCCATACTATGTATCCTCTAAAGGAAGGAGCATGTATCTCAGTATGCTGAGAAGGAAATATCATTTTTGCAGTGACATTAAAACAAGAGTGCAGTTTGAGTAAAGTTAGAAGTTCTTGTTTTAAAATGTTAAAGATACTTTCCTTTTCCATGTTTGCTGTTAATGTTTGATTGTCATACAGAAATTTATGGGAGAAGAGGGAATATTTATCTGTGTTTCATGGAGTTTTCCAATGTCTGAGGCCAAGAGAACTGCCAGGATTGTGGTTGGGCTGTTCTCACTCCCTTCATGCTGCTGGCCTTTTAGCTCCTATGACTGCCTGCAGGTTGGGCTCACAGGTAACAGAGACTATAAGTTTTTGCTTACCTACCAAAATAGCCCATTTCAGATGCCAGCATACTCAAAATAAGTCATTTTATAATTCACATAGTGTATGAATAATTCTTAAATTTGAGGCCCATTTGTTTTGAATTATTGGCTGTGAAAGCCTGTAGGAAGGGTGGTACTCTTCACCCAACCCACTCCCTGTGCTTTGATGCACGTGTGGGAAATTTATAAGAAAAGTTTACTGTCAGCCTGCTGGTCAGGAGGAAGTGGACAGAAAACTTGGAATGAGTGAAGGAGAATCTGCGATAGGCTTCACATCATCAGCAGAGTGAGGAGGGAAGCTACTTGTAAAGAAAAAGGAGACCACAGATGTCTTTAGTACTCCAAGTTTCAATAGATGCACAAGAATGGGAGCAGGGAATAATTCTGGCAACCACAGACATTTTTAGTACAGAAGCTTTTTGACTTGTAGTAGGACAAGTCCCTGCTTCTCTGCTCTTGCTGTTTACGATATGAATCCGATGCCTGGGTCTGCTGGTAATGTCTTGTACCTGAGGATCTTTGATGCTCAGCAGCCTTGCTGTGAGAGCTGAAAGAACATGGTCTGACCAAAGCCCTTATTCCCTGTTGTCAGACTTTTAGGATTTGTAGCATGGGTTCTAGATGGCTCTCTCATGGGTTAGCAGAATGATGAGGAGCTTTGAGTTTCTTAGCAAGGGCTGTGGGCATCACAGGATAAACCCTCAGTCTTTCTCACCAAAAGAAGATAAAAATGCTTCATAAATATTTCCTGTAAGGAGAACAGCATTATAGATTTGCAAACAAGTAAATCAGAGGAGGCTAGAAAAGAAGTCACACTCTTTAACTCTGGCCAGGTTTCTTAAACCTAATTCCATTCCTTTTTTAAAAATGTGTATTATAGCTCTACCTTTCTGAACTATTTTAGGGATTGCCTAGATAGTATCTAGCAAATGGTAAGCACTTAATGACTTTCAGCTACTATAAGTTGAAATGGTAATTATTAATGTCTGGTTCACCTGTAGGGTTCTTTATCAAAGGAACACTGGTGATACTGAGTTTTAACATATGCCAAGAATGGATTTATCTCCATTTTGTCTTGAATTTCAGATGTTCTGGTGAAGAATTCTTGACAATTCAGCGTGCTGATCTCTCACCTTGGGGCTTGTGGAAGAATCATGTGGTATTGGCTGTTGTAATGATTTTCTTCTTCACAATTGCTTTCTTAAAATTGTTATTCTCTAAAAGCAAAATTAAATGATCCTTTAATTTACTGTGAATTATCTTCATATTAAAAAGGAACATTGTGCTTTATTTTCAGTGTTCAAAGGTTTCCTTTTGTATTCCGTCACTGGCCATCACAGTGCTGTTTAGGAGAAATTATTTTATTAATGGAACTATTCACCAAAATTAGAGCAAACTGAGTTATATATGGAGGACTTCAAGCCAAAAATGAAAGCTATTGTACCCTGTTTATTTTTTTCATTGAGAATATTGGTACATTTTAGGCATGCAGTACATTTACATTCATCATTGGGATATTATACCTTTACATGACAGGTCTTGGTTCTCATTTTTTTCCCTTATCCCTGCCCAACCTTCACCCCCTCCTCCCTTCCATATTTACAAATAT